AGGGCGTGCCGCGCTTGCTATGTCTTGGGCGACCGTCGCGGACAGCGGCAGCGCTCAGAGACCACCCCGTGCGCGCCCCCTACGGTGTCGAGAATATGGCAGACTTGTTATGCCCTGGGCGACCGTAACGGATAGCGGCCGCGCTCAGAGACTACTCATTGCACACCCCTCTATGGTGTGGAGAATCTGCCCCGCCTGCTATGACTTGGATGACCGTCGCGGGCAGCGGCCGCGCTCAGAGACCGCCCCTTGCGCACCCCCTACTGTTTTTGAGACTATGCCACGCCAGCTTTGCCCTGGGCGACCGTCGCGGATAGCGGCCGCGCTCAGAGACCACCCCGCGCGCACCCCCTTATGGTGTCGAGAAGGTGCCCCTCCCTTTGCGCCGTGGACGACCGTCGCGGATAGCGGCCGCGCTCAGAGACCACCCCGTGCGCACCTTTTAGTGGTGTCGAGAATGTGCGGCGCCTGCTTCGCCGGGGACGACCGTCGCGGATAGCGGCGGCGCTTGAGACCACCCCGTTGCACACCCCCTACGGTGTCGAGAAGGTGCCGCGCCTGATTTGCCTCGGACGACCGTCGCGGAGAGCGGAGGCGCTCAGAGACCACCCCGTGCGCGCCCTGCGGTGTCTCGAGTGTGCCGCGCTTGCTATGCCGCTGGACGACCATCACGGATAGCGGCGGCGCTCAGAGACAACGCCGTGCGCGCCCCCTTTTGGTGTCGGGAATATGCCGCGCCTGCTATGACTTGGACGACCGTCGCGGGCAGCGGCCGCGCTCAGAGACCACCCCGTGCTCACCCCCTATGGTGTCGAGGTTCAGCCGCGCCTGCTATGCCCTGGGCGACCGTCGCGGATAGCGCCAACCCTCAGATACCACCCCGCGCGCACCCCCTTGCGGTGTCGAGAAGATGCCACGCCTGCGATGCACTGGACGACCGTCAGGTAGCGAACGCCGTCGGATACCACCCATTGCACACCCCTCTATGGTGTGGAGAATCTGCCCCGCCTGCTATGCCTCGGACGACCGTTGCGGATGGCGGGCGCGCTCAGGGACCACCCCGTGCGCACCCCCTTTATGGTGTCGACAATTTAGCCACGCCTGCGATGCACTGAGCGATCGTCACGGACAGCGGCCGCGCTCAGAGACCACCCGTTGCGCACCCCCTATGGTGTCGATAGCGGCCGCGCTCGGAGATCTTCCTGTGCGCGCCCGATATGTGTCGAGAACATGTCACGCCTGCTATGCCCTGGGCGACCGTCGCGGATGGAGCCCGCCCTCAGAGACAGACCACCCACTGCGCACCCCCCATGGCGTCAAGAATCTGCCCCGCCTGCTATGCCGTTGGGCGGCCGTCACGGATAGCGGACGCCGCCAGAGACCACCCCCTGTGCATATTTTTCAGGTGTCGAGAATCTGCCCCGCCTGCTATGCCGTGGACGACCGTCGCGGATCGCGGCCGCCCTCAGAGACCACCCCGTGCGCACCCCCGTATGGTGTCGAGACTATGCCGCGCCTGCTATGCTCTGGACGACCGTCACGGAGAGCGAACGCCGTCAGAGACCACCCGTGCGCACCCTTTTTGGTGCCGAAGATTTAGCCATGCCTGCTATGCATTCCAAGACCGTCGCGGGTAGCGGCCGCCTTCGAAGAACACGCCGTGCGCACCCCCTCTGGTGTCGAGAATATGCAACGCCTGCGATGCACTGGGCGACCGTCGCGGACAGCGACGCGTGCCATGCCTTCCACGCCCTACGGATTCTTCGTGCATGTGTTGTGGTGTGCCTGTCAATGCGGCGTATATGTTGCATGTGTCTTGCGCGTATGATGCAAAGAGCACGCCGGGTGCGCGGCTGTCTGTCTGTGTGTGTGTGGACGTCATATTGCCTGATGCGCGCGAGCGCTTGGAGGTGTCGCGCCAGCCGCTCCTACCTGCGTGTGGTGTGTCTGTTTGCTGCTTGTGCATGTGCTGTATGCGTGCTGTGTGTATATGTGCTGCCAGCGATAGCGCGGTTGGGCAGGAGAAGGACATTAGACGGAACAGTTCAGGAGGTTATGATGCAAAGAACACGCCGGGTGTGCGGCTGTCTGTGTGTGGGTGGCACGTGAGCGCTAGGAAGTGTCGCGCTTGCCACTCCTACCTGCGTGTGGCGTGTATGTGTGATGTGCGTGCGCATGCTGCATGCGTGCCTTGAGTATGTGTGCTGAGAAGGAGGAGGAGGGGTGAGGGGGCGGCGCGGGTGCGACGCCGGTGGGGAGAATATTAGAACCCCGCGAATCACGCGGGGAATCATGCGAGGGGCGCGATGAGGGGATGGGGAGCTACGCGCGAGAGGGAGGGCCACATGGTGCAGGTTTGTAACGTGCAGGTGTATTGGCTTTGGCAAATGGGACCGGCTGGGCTTGCACTGGAACCTGGGGGGGGGGGCGCTTCTAGGTGGCGCGCGCGTCGAGCTGGCCAACCAATCGCAGATGGTCGGCGACGGTGTCCGACTAAGCGGCGCCAGCCGCGCGCCCCCGGGCTCGCATGTCTGTGGGGGATATTTTTCCATGGGCTGAGCTCGGGGGCGACGAGCGTAGCAAGGTGGAACTGTTTGAGAGGCGACCTCCTTTTTCCACATCCAGAGCTGATCGATTGGTTCGCGCTCTTTAGCGCGAGAGGATATGGGCCCCGCTCTCGTCTATCAGGGGTCTGGCTCCGACACCGGGAACCCCGGAGCCCCCGGGGGGCCAAGAGAATATGGAAATATATGGATGCGCGGTCCCTGGGTGCCCCAGAAGGGTCCAATGTGAAAGACCAGTACTCGTTCGTCAAATCATCATGGGCTGAAGTCGGCTCCTGGGGCGGCGGCGGCGGGCAGCCAATGTTCATTTGTAACGGCTTGTTTGAATCCAGAACTCAGCGCATTAGCACGTGGGGGATTCTTTCCAGCGTGGCCTGTGCATGATTAGTATCACCACCCTCAGATCTAGCGCCACTGGTTTCGGATCGTCCGCCACACAAGGTTCAGATCGCCGACCCTTCCCAACTTTCACAGCGCGTGCGTTCTGATTTCGCCTGCCCCCCGCTGTTCGAGAGCATCCATGGCCGGCGCTCCGAGGCGGTCCCTCGGAAAGTGCAAGTCCAGCCAGGCAGCGGGGGGGGGGGGGCGATCGTCGCGCTCGTTTGGTGGGGGCGGCCGCGCGCCGGGCGCGCCGGCAGCTCAAGGGCAGAGAAGGAGGCATGATGGCGGCTCTGCTCGCGATCTTGCGTTGGCTGCATCTCGCCAACTCGCGAGATCCCGCGGGGCTCACGGGCGCTACTTTTGCTCGTCATTTATTCTCGGCGGCAGCTCCGCTCGCCGAAGTGCCGCAGATCGCGGGGCAGGACAACGCCACATATATATATATATATATATTGCAAAGATCATGGAAAGAATCGCGACGGCGGGCCACCGCGGCCCCGCGTCTTCATGGTTCTGGTGGAGCATTCCTTGGAGACGTTGACGCAGGCGCAGAGGGTCGAGGCTCAGGCTATGGCAGCTCTCAGACATTATTGGGCGCAGACGATCATGGAAGACAAAGCAGAGCAATTCAGAGTCCATGTCGACCATGCGTGAGGTATTGGCGCATCAGAGCATGTTGGTTCGACGAGAAAGCAGGCAAGACCGCGGCGGACACATGCAACCCGCAAATCATGATGAGCCCTTGCGTCCAGAGTCAGGTGATCGCGATCGATAGGTCACCGCATGGCACTGCATGCAGCACTGCAGGTGTGCGCGAAGTTGTCTGTCGGCACGAGCAAGGCTGGAGCGACCCCCAAGGGGGCTTCGGAACGAGATGCGGAGCGCCTTCTCCAGAAATTCGGCATTGCTCCGGGACAGATTCAGAAGCATCTGCAGGACAGAACATTGACAGACCTACCACGTCTGCAGGACTGTACTTTGGTGGCCTTGGAGAGAAATCTACTCCGAGAGCTGCAGCCAAACCGGCCCTCTTCGGGTACAGGCAGTTCGAAACCTTCCAGAGAAAATCCCAGAAGCCATTCTTGCAGCGCAGCTCTGGAGGCAACAGTTTCATGCACTGTTGAGGCCTACAGAACCCTTGGAATTTAGGCTAATCGTCGCACGGGCCTTCCAGAGAGCTGCCCAGGTCAGGACGGTCTCCGCGGATCTTGCCTCCTCTTCGTTCGCTGCTGATGCGCGTGCCTCGAGTGCGCTGCTTGTCCCTCCCTCCCGTTCCGTTGTCCGGCCCGATCTGTATCGAGTCTTACCAGGTAGAGTTCCGCACGTATTGCCACAGCCCCCTCTGCTGCCTGCTGTCTCTCCCCCCCCTTCCTCTCTCCCGCGGCATGTGCTGCTGCGTGCTCCCGCCTTCTGGCCTCACGTGTGCGTGCGTGGTGTGTGTGTGTGTGTGTGTGTGAGAGAGAGTGTGTATGTGTGTGTGTATGTGTGTGTGTGTGTGTTTGTGTGTGCGTGCGTGCGTGCGTGCGTGCGTGCGTGCGTGTGTGTGTGTGTGTGGTGTTGGCGGTGTCCTTTTCCTGCTCGCCTGTTGTTCCCCGTCGTTCCCTTGTGGTGTCGTTGATGGGCCGTGGCCTAGGATTGAATTATGGGAGATTTCCAGCTCTCCTCTTGCGAGCCTGCCGATAGGAGGATGGTGCCTGCGTGGGCCGTCATGGGTTCGTTTCCCTTGCGACGGTGCTGTTTCGGGCCAGTGGTTTCCCCCACCGGGGCTGCAGGCCATAGTCCCGTGCTATTCGCAGATCCTCTTGCATATCTGGTGTTCGCCTCGCAGCGTGTTGCTTTCTAAACGCTGCTCACCAGAGTCGCAAGCTTTCCAGTCCAGTCCATTCCAGTCCAGTCCAGTCCAGTCAAGTCCTCCTCCTGCTGCTCCTCCTGCTCCTCCTCCTGCTCCTCCTCCTCCTCCTCCCTCTTTCCTCCCTCCTCCACCTCCTTCCCTCTTGTCCTCCTCCTTCCCACTCCTCCCTCCCCCCTTTCGTTTCCCGCCTAGCTTTTCTGCAGGCTCCTCGACTCGGGGCCGCAGGCCTTGGTGGCCCTCCGCGGGCACCTCCCTGCAGACGAGCAGGACTCTGGAGACGGACTCGTCGCCAGGCCGACGGGCGGACAGCAAGGAGGGGCCAATATATACGCGGGGGGATCAGGGATGGCAGGGGAGTGGCCCCCCAAAACCCAAGTCTCAGAGGAGGGCCTGATGAGACAACACTAGTTGGCCGTCAGGAGGCCCCTTCGCCGCCACGGTTGGACGGTGCAAGACGAGCTGGCGCGTTTGGGCTCCTTGGAGGGGTCCGGGGATCGATTTTGAGTTGCCCTTGTCTTAATTTGCTGTGCTCCGACATGCACGCGGGGGGATCGAGGATTGCAGGAAAGTGAGTTTTTCTTCCCCCCCCAGATCGTGGCCCCCCGCCAACAAACACCCGAGGCTGTTTGCGTCCTTCTTCGCCTGCGCGGGCCTAAGGACGAGGAGGAGGAGGGCGGGGAGGAGGAGGTGCGGGCGGAGGAGGAGGGGAGAAGTTGGAGGAGGTGGAGGCGGAGGCGGAGGAGGAGGGGGAGGAGGGGGGAGGTGGAGGAGGTGGGGAGGTGGCGCCGCCGCCAGGCTGTTTGCATCCTTCTTCGCCTGCGCCGACCTCCCAGACGCCGCTGGCCGGCGAGCCCTCCCGGCGATCCTGCGCGCGTTGGCGTGCTGCCTGGCGGCCCCACACGCGGCGCCGCAGTGCTCCGCGCTGATGAGGCTCCTCGGCGGAGCTCACGAGTTGCGAGCATATCCATATCCACGCCCTCGCGGTCGGGACTCCGGGGCGCGATCCCGCGGATTCATCAAGCAGAGGCGGAGCGTCCTGACTTGCTCTCAGGCCCACCTGAGAATGGTCTCAGAACATGATAGCTGAGACAGGTCTTGTTTTAACGCATCGCTTTTAGGCTCTGAGGGCATGGCCTCTGTATGTAGAACAAGTCTTCCGGTCAGAGAACATGTCGTGGCATGCCTGCAGGAATGCACGGACGGTCGGTCCCTGCTCAGAGTGGACACGCCGTCGCATGGATGCGTTGCGCACGGGGCATCCGCGAGCACACGCCTTGCGTCCGCGGGGTCGCCGCCCAGGGGCCCGCCGCCCCGCGAGGCCGTGGCTGCGGAGATGCCTCTCTCGCCCGCGAGGAGCCGCGCACCCGCGCTTCCGGGCGCCGGGCGGCGCCTCGTTCGTGGGCGTCCTCACCTCGACGGTGGGCCTCTCGACAAGACGTAAGAGTGACATTTCGCCAGAGTGAGCTTTGGTGCGGGCACAGATGGGCCCTCAGATGGCTGAAAATGAAGCAGTAGCAGCTGGTTGCGCGCCCAGGTTTGGCCCCCCGCGGCCTCCCAAAAAGCCGCGCACCAAAGGTCACTCTTGCCCCGGGTCACTCTTGCGTGAAGCCGAGCCTCGGAGGATGAACGCGTTCGATGCGTGTCGCCGCGCCGCTTGTTCCGGCGCGCGCCTCGCGCCACCAAGGCAAAGTCCGCCTTGGGCGCAAGGCTTGCCGTGGGTTTGCCTGGGTGTCGCCTTCCTCTGCTTGGACGGTGGGCCTTGGAGGAGGAACGCGTTCGATACGCGTCGGCGGCGGGCGAGGGGGTCAGTGAGAAGGAAAAGGCCTTCTCATAAGGCGGTGGGACTTCTCAGAAGCCCTCGCGCCTTTGAGAAGTTTTCAGTGTCTTCGGGGAAGGCTCAGGAAACTCCTCAGAGGGCCTGGGGACTTACGAGCCTTCTGAGAAGGCCTTCACCTTCTCACTCCCCCCCTCGCTCGCCGCCGAATATGCTCGTGAACGGATCTGCTCGGTTATAGTTTAGCTCTAGTTCGACTCCAGTTCGGCTCAAAGTCGTTTCAAGTTTGTCTCAAGGCGACTGTCGTTCGACGCAGCATCGACGCATGAGTGGAGCGATTGGCTCACGAGGGTCTCCAGAACAAGCATCGAACACTCGGACCTTGATAGGACCCCCACCCTGCCAGGTATATTCGCGACCTGCCCTTTTTGCCTCTCGAAAGGGTGTTGCGGCCGCATTGCTTCTGAAGAGGAGCGTTTCAGGCCGCCCCCAGATGGGGTCCGAGCAGGTGGGGTCGGGGGATCCCGCCGCGTCGCCGATGCGTCGTCGATGCGACTCGATTCGTGGCCGATGCGTCTTCGATGCGTCACCAGCGCATCGCCGCACATCGGCGATGCGGCGCGATCCTCCGACCCCATCTACTCGGTCCCCATTTGAGCGGGCTCCAGGACCATCCACAACCATACAGTCAAGAGCGTGAGTCAAGAACACGAGTCCCCTTGCCGAGGGTCGAAGGCCTCATGGGGATGCGCCAAACGAAGGGCATTCCAAGCGGGAGAGTCCAAACGTGTGGGTGCCTCTCAAAAGCTAGGCTTGTTCGTACACCTCGTGTCAGCTGTGCAGCAGGTTCGCGCCGCGTTGACGCGGCGGCGGCCCCGGCGCGGGCGTTCAAGGTTGCACGCCGCCACTAGCGCGGAATCGGCCGACATCGAAGGATCGAGGCTGAACGATCCACACGGTGTCAGAGATCTAGAGACCAACGCCGACGCCGTCGCGACGTGCGCCCGCCCTACCAATACCTGTGCCCTCCCCTCGTTTTCACCCTCTCAGTCCGCCTGGGGGCCCCTAGATGGCTGGATCCGCCCCGGCATACTGGTTAGAGCGCACCCCTGGAGAGGTGCCGCGAGAACGTTCGAAAGGGTTTCGCTCCGCGTCGACGCGTGATGCGGCGGCGGCGCCGGCGCGGGCGTTCAAGGCCAAAGGCCGCAAGCGGCTGGAGCCAGGTCCATCTTGAAACAGCTCCGCCGTTGGATAGCCTCGGGTCGCGGACCTCGCGCAAGGCAAGTATGAGCGATCCTTGCGCAGCCAGGGGCCAACGCCCGCGTCGTCCCGACAGGAACCCTCCGTTCTCGGCATCGGCAGCACCTCCCTGTCCCTCAGAGCCTACGTAGGTCACCCGCGGGGGCGCGAACATGATCGCGCTCCGCGCGCCTCGGTCTGGACTGGAGAGCTGCCCTTCTCCTGGAGGGGGTGTGTCCACCGCCAGAATCTGTCCATATCCACTGCCTCGGGGTCGTGGCCTGGGATCTCAAGGAGTGGTGGATATGGATGTCTGCGCGCCTGTTTGGGCGGCCAGATCTCCATATCTACTGCTCACCGAGACCCCAGGGCACGACCCCGCGGCAGTGGATGTGGACATACTCTGGCGGCGCAGCTGTGTGGGAGCGCGACCATCGCTACGTTCGACTGCGCGTCGCGGTAGACAGAAAAGACGCTGAAATGAGGGCCATTTGGGGCTCGGGAGGGGCTCCAGTCTTCGGGCCGTTCCTTCGATCTAGGTCCAGTAGAGGGAAACAATCCATGGACACCCCCCCTTCTCCCAAATTCGAAGTTGGCACTCGTGGATGAGGCTGCGGTTGAAGTGCAACTCATCAGACCCACCGCCAACTTTGAACATTGGGAGGGGGAGGCGTTGACCGATGAATGTGGCATGAGTGTTCACTTGTTTTTCCGAGGCCTGGTCGGGGACCCTATTCGTTGCCGAGTCGCGCCGTGGCCAGAACTGCCCCTTCGTTTCCTTTTCGGCGTGCTGTTGGTAGCACGATGACTGCAGGAAGGCGCCTGTGCTCGAATTCTGTCGACGTGCAGAGGAGCTGGCATGCAACTCCTTGGGGGTTAAATGCTGTCTTGGCGCTGGTACTTTCGCGTTCGATAATCGGCTTGATCTGGGTTTACCCAGCTCAATCAGATCCCGCGTGATCTGCTTAATTTGGCTTCATCCTGGGCTTAATCTGGCCTGATCCGGTGAAGTGGCCCTCCAATCTGGCTTAACCGCCATTGATCCTTCCAGCGAAGACCTCCCAGGAGTTGCCTCCTAAGAGGAGGGGTGACGCACTAGAGAGGGGGGTCGGACGGAGCTAGGACGAGGATAAGTCCGTTCCAGAGTGTTCTGGACCGCTCCCACAGTGTTCTGGAACGCTCTGAGAAGGCCGCGGCGCCCGAGACATCTTCCAGAGCCGCCAGATCCCAGAGATTCTCGATTCATCCTCACCCGATTGTATATCCTCGCCCCGTCTTCGTCGTAGGCGGGGGGGGGCTCGACTGTGCGAAGGCGGCCGGGTCGACTGTGCGGGCGCCTGCTTGCGCGGCGCTGCGCCGCGCAGCGCCGCGTGCGCGCGCCCGCGGCGCGTGAGCGCCAGCGGGCTGCGCGGGCTGCCGCTCTCCGGGGGCCACGTGACCCGGAGGGGGAGGGGCTCGGGGGGGGGGGGGGGGCCGGCGCGTCGACCCCAAAAATTTTGTGATGCTCCAGCCTGCTGTGGCCTCGAGCGCCAGGGCTCGAGGGCTTGCCCGTGTCGGGCCCTGTGAGGCGATACTCGTTCGACACCGTGCCAGCGTGTCGGACAGACCCTGTCTCGATGTTTTTCTGGGTGCTCGAAGTTCGTAGTGGGGTGGGGTCCTTAAGTACGACGCGAACAACATAACACACATTTTGACGAAGAGAGAGCTGCGTAAACATATACTTCTGACGGTCCGCGCAGATTTCTTGGATCTGCGCTGTAGCCCTGCCCCCCGGCGCTCAGGGGCAACGCTACGTGGGGGAATGGGCTCCTCATCTCGACGGTGGGTCTCGGAGGGGGAATTCGAGGCTCGAGGTTTTTGGACCTTGTCGTCGGCTCTCGGCGGTTTTGCACTCTCGGGATGGCTCTCCAGCTGTGGCGGGCCTCCTATTTCCGCCGGATGCGTTTAGCTGTTAGTTCGTATTGATGACGACACAAGTCGTCCGAGTCAGTCGTTCAAGAGAGACATGGTTATCGCTGTTGATCGTGACACTTTGGCTCAAGGCAAAAAGGCTTTCGCTCATCCTGCTGCTGCCACAGTTGGTAGCAGAGCGGGCCTGGCCATGCGCAGGGAGGGTGGTGCAGACCGTTGCTGAGGACTCGGTGACCGAGGCACTGCTCGACGCCTGTGGCTGGTTCCGTTCCCCCAGGGCGGACAGGGCGTGGATCCACGGCGACGGCCAAGATGCCAGCAGAAGGCGATGTATATCATAATCGAGAAGGGGTGTTAGCAGTGATTCGCGATGGCGCAGCTGGCTCCCGAGACCGCGGAGGCGAAGAAGGACCGACTGATGCAGATGCAGTACAGCAGCCATCTCAATCTAGCGACCAGTGCAAGGAGAGGGTCCTCAAGCTGGTGCAACGAGTACTGCAGGACACTATGAGTTGGACGGGGACGAGTGCTCTTGCAACAGAGAAGGAGGAGAAGAAGAAACCCCACATTGATCCATGGAGCGACGCAGGAACCGACCCATGGACGAGGAGCTGGCACGCTAAGGACAACCAGGACTGGGACAAGAGAAAAAGGTTGGTGGCAGCAGGACGACGGCTGGAACATCCAGAGCTGGGGCAAGACTGACGAATGGCAGAATGGCTGGTGGTCTGGAACCAAGAGAGACTACTCTGACCGTCCGGCGTGGCCGGGCTGTGGACATTACCGGCTCTGGAAGCGACGGATCATCAGATGTAACAATAATACACATGTGCCGCAGTGACGGCGCTCCGAGACGTTTCCCAACTTGCTCGACTGGTCCATGCAAGAGAAGTTCGAGGTCGTGAGCGAGGCCACCATGGCCAGTCATCAATGGTTGGACGTGCTCTTCGGCAGGACGGACGTGATGAGCGGCGAACGTGAAGGAGACGACCTGCGTGGAGCAGGCAGGAGAGCCCTCTTCGAGTGTTCCAGAGAGGCCAAGGAAACTACCGCGCCTTATTATGTAGCGAGACGAGACCAACAGTTCCTCGAAGCTGAGAGCCATGACATCTGGATGTCCGAGAAGCTGAAAAGGGTTCATGTTGGAGGAAGGGGTCGGGCTGTCCGTCTAGGGCCAGCAACATCTGACATTGGGCTGGCCTCGGCCAGTGCCGCCGATCCGGGGGGTGAGAGCGACATGCTGATGATGATGATGATGATGATGATGATGATGATGATGATGATGATGATGATGCTGATGATGATGATGAGGAGGAGGATGAGGATGATCATGACGATTGGGTCGATGGTGATGATGTTTATGATGTGGGTGCTGGTGATCTCGGCGGCTTCTGGAGCCGTCTTGGGGGCATCTTGGGAGCGATGTTTCGGCGATTCGGGGCCCTCTGGCATTGTCTGGGGGGCTTCTGGGGCCTCTCTCGGCTTCCTCTTGGG